GTGACACCCGTCTCCCCAGCCGGCCGGCCGGGCGCAGCCCCCCCGGCCTTGGTCTGTCCTCAGGTTCGTCCCTGCTCTGCAATTATCTAGGGCCGGCTTCTTCGCCCTTTCAACCTCGGCATCTTGTTCTGTGGAACAAAAATCGAATTTTACTGCCCAGACAAACAAACAAAAAACCAGTCTACTACTTCGGGGTTAGGAAGCGGGAGGCGCGCCTGTAAGCTTGGACCTGGGCTTTTTGAGCATCTCCTCCTCGGGCCCACGTACCTCACAGTATGACCTTGAGCCTGTGGCGTTTGTATGTGTACAACCCGTGTAGTGAAAGAAAGACCTTTGGGAGGTCCGGAGCTGGCCAAAACATCCTTGCTTTTGCTGGTGTGGCTATGCGGGCTCGCTCTTAGGGGTGCCCTCCCGGAGCTGGGTTCCGGGGGCCCTTGTAGCCGCCGGCCTCCGTTTGCAAAAACGAGCCCTTTGTTGTCATTGTAAAACACAAGAAAATGAACCAGAGTCTTGGAACCAGGCTTAGGAGCTGGGCGCGTCTCTGCCAAGAGCAGCGCGCTCCCTGAATTGGTGGCGCTTTCTAATTGAGAGGAATGAAGCTTGAGCCCGGTAGTGCTATGCAGGCCTCCGCGGGGAGACAGTGAATGAGAATGCCTCCCTCAGTCCCATGGGCTACTAATGAGATTCCCCAAAGAAAAACCTTTAGGGAAAGTAGGACGATTTAGTCCTGGTTAGTATTTGTTCTGAGCTCACAGAGTGGGGGGCGGAGGGGGGCTCTTTTTTTTTTTTTTTTTTTTTTTTTTTTTTTTTGATTCAAGGACTTGAGAATTGAGATAACTTTTCAGTGTTGTCTGGTGTTCCTGAGTACAGGCTTTTTACTCAACTGCTGCTCTGGGAGGAACTGTGTGTTGTCTCCCTTCCTGTCTGATAAGGCTACCTCTTTTTAGGCTTACAAGGTTATTCTGTCACTCTCTCCTTACTTACTCTTGTGGATATTTTGTTGTTAATAGATACGAGATTGGGGTTCTTATTAATTTTTTGAGTTCCTTATAAATTCTAGGTCTGAGTCCCCTGTCAACAAAGATTCTATAGAATCTCCACTCTAATTTGTTCAGAAACTTTTTTATTTTAGGCAATGCCATTTGCCAGTTCTTGGTGTTATTTCCTGGGCTCCAAGTCCTTGGCTATGCCTGTGTAACCTCAAGGTTTTGCCTGTTTTCCCCTAGCAGATTCCAAGTTCAGCAATTCTTACATGAAGGCCTTTGATCCACTTTGTCTTAATTTTTTAACAGTTTTGGTTTTGTTACATGTATTTATATGTGTACAGTAAGTTTATGGTTCTAAGGTATTGATTAAATATTTTTTTAAATAGGTTTGTGTTTTTAAAAAGTAAAGGCAAGTTAAAGTAGAAATTACATGTAGTGTATGGGATCCCAATGAATTTGGAAAATCTGTGGCATCAGTCTGAGGGAGAGTTTTCTCAAGTTATACTTCAAACATGTAGTGATTACTGAGCAGATTCTAAATGACAAAGCCTTAGCCCCAAATGAAGTTTATTGTCACCAAAGGATATTACTCAAAGTATCAAGTTTAATGCTGAAGAAAAATAATTAAAATTTTAAAAAATATGTTTTATTGAAACATAAAAATGAAACAGTGAGGCAGAAGTGTTGCGTCTTAACAGAGTTTTACTCCCTTTGAAATTTAGGTGGTTTAACTGCGGGAGAAGTTGTCATTTCAGTAACCGCCTTTATGTTCTAGATCCATGAGTCTTTTCAAACTAAAGATTTCTAAGTTAAGATACTGTCATAGGATGAAATGTTGAGAACTTTGAGGCGTGCTGCTGGAAACAAAAGTGAAATGAGCTGGGAGAGCACTGGAGAGCCTGAGGCAGGAGAATCAGGAATTCAATGCCAGTCTGGGCTCCGTACTAAGACCCAACCTCAAAATAAACAAATAAGACTGATTCAGAATTCAGCAAAGAGTAGGTGGATGCTGGCACATTTTGTGAGATAATGTGGCTTAAATCTTGTGTGTCTAAGCTTTTCTCATGCTTCATGTACACCAATGCTGGGAAAGCACCTGTTCTATAATGATAAACACAGAAATTAATAGAAGTTGCCTATGGGAACATAGATGGTAGAAGGTAGGATTAGGTAGGACGTTTCATTTTCTTCATATGCTCTCCTTTGTTTTGCTTTTTTAGATAAGTCTGTCTATGTGGCACAAGCTGGCCTTGAACTCTGACTTTCTGCTTCAGCCTCAGTGCTGGGATTATAGGTATCCACCATTCATATACAGAGAGAGAGAGCTCAACTGTCTCCATATGTTCTTATATATTTTATATATACAATGTTTGTTTATTTCTAGTTCTGTGTTTTAAAATGAAAACTGATTTCCCTTACTATGTAGAAGATATGTATATACACATTAGTTTAACATGAATGTATCTTTGATCTGCCAGCTTTCCAGGTAAATGTCTTACCTTACATCACTGGTTGTTAACCTTCCTAGTGCTGCAGCCCTTATTTACATTTCCTCATGTGGGGACCTCCAACCATAAAATAATTTCATTGCTGTAGTTTTGCTACTGTTATGAATTGTAATGCAAGTACCTGATATGCAGGATATCTGATATGTGGCCCCCGAAGGGGTTACAACCCACAGATTAAGAATCACTACCATACATGGTGACTAGTCACAGGGCCCTGTCTATAACACTAAAACGTGTGGTAAGCTTGAGGTCCTTTCTCTGCTTATTTTGTTTTTTAACGTAAAGTTGTGTATCTTTGTGGCTTTTATTTGAAGAATTTCCAGCTAAGTCTTTAATAATGGCATCATCTAGCTTCTCTCGGTCACTGTTTTTCTCCCTTAGGGACAAAAGTGGCTCTCAATCTAGCACATGTGCATTGGAGCAATTTAAGGATTTAATATGAAGTACAGAAGCAGATAGTGCCAAATAGCAAGCCCGTTGTTTCATATTTGTAAGTACAATTTTTTCTTTGGCTCTGTTTTCTTAGTCTTTAAGGCATCTGCATGTCAGTTCCTTAAGAGACAGACATTTAGACAAAAAATAAAAGAAGCTAGTTGATACTCATAATCCGACTAGGTCTGCCATACTAAGCAACATCCAACAGTGTACTGGAGTACGTTTCTGGTTTAAAACAAACAAAAAAAAAAGGGGATGATGAAGACATCTATATTCCCTTAACATAGTTTACAGAATAATCCCTGTGAGTAAGACATTTATATCGTCTTTAATGTTTTATTTCTCTTGAGTTATACTTTGCTGGGAACTTAGTGTAATTTGGCTTCCTTTTCAGGAAACCACTTATGCACCAAATTTTTAGGCAACCTCAAATACATTTACTTTTACCATTGCATTTTCTTCATGTTTTTTTTATATGCCATTAGAATGTGATTAGAGGGGTTTTCTGGTAGCCATGCTTCCCCCAGTCTGACTGCACATTTCCTTATGTAATGGTAGAACTTTTCAATTGCTCGAATTGCAAAATCATGAAATAGTGACTAGGTTTCAAACCATCTTTCTGACTTATGAGGTACTGTAGAGTGACAGTGGGAACATTTGAAATTTGTTTTCTCAAGTCAAGCCCTTTTAAGTAAATAACTACTTTTATTCATAGTTCTCTTATAAAATGAATTGTTGAAATACTGATTTTTATTCTTTCTTTTTTACAGCTGGAAAAGCAGTGTCCGTGTTGTTATGTACTCCTCCAAAGACAGTTCAGATCTTTAGGGGAGTTATTGTGTAAAGTAAACAACTACAGGGTAGCAGTACTTAATAGCTATTGTAGACGTGTACTTGCTCTATTAAGATGAGTAAGAGAACGGGCAGTGACACATCACTAGGAAGGTCAGTGACATTTTTTTCAGTTGAGCTGGTATTATAGGTTGGACAGACAGTAGCTTCAGAGCTGCTTGCCATAAGCTAACCTTGCTCTTTTATGCTTTCCTTAGCATTTTTTATTTGGGGGCAACATTCTTTCGACTACATCTCCCTGGAATCATGGATCCCTCTCCAATTTAGAAGGTTACTCAATGCATTTGTACTATTTTCCCCTCAAAGATACTTGATGTTTCTCAAAACTACAATGTGTAAATATGATATTAAATATAGGTCAATAATGTGAACATTTAACCCCTTAAAATGAAAGCGTACATTAAGGACTTACTGATGTAAATCTTGTATTTGGCATTCATTGCGTCATCACATTCATTTGCAGTAAGAAGTTTTTTGATATGCACTGTATGATTTTGAGGGAGCTATACCTTTTTTGAAAACTGAGCACTAGCTTTATTTGCCTTTGGATTCTGATTTTCATTGTTGAGAGAGTTTGTTTCATGCACGATGCCAATTTCTGATTTCATTGCTAAGAAGTCCAGGCAATAGTCTCCCACATAATCATTTTTTCTCTGCAGTTCTAGAGACTGAGCAGGGCTTCATGCATGTTAGGCAAGCATTCTCCCTCGCAACTCTGCTCTCAGCCTTCTGGTTGGGGATTTTTAATTTTATTTCAGGCGTTTTTGAATTGCATTTTTGCTTACATGCTTATTTGCTTACACACAAAGAATGCTTGTGTGTGTGCATTTGTATCATGGTTATATGATACTCAAGAAACTTGCACCTCATCAGTGTCCTCGAGGTTCCTTTTCAGATGATAAGTTAGAGCTTTATGTTGAAGAAAGTGTATTTGTTGCTTGTTTTCCTTTTGCTCACAAGTGGAGTTTCCTTTTGCTCTTTCTTCTGTAAGCTATTGTCTTCTGACATCACTGCATAGAGGAGATTGATGTTTTCACGTGCAGTTACCTGATCTTAATATTTTCCTTCTGTAGGGTGAGTGGGGCAGCATTTCCTTCTCCCACTGCTTCTGAGATGGCAGAAATCAGCCGAATTCAGTATGAAATGGAATACACCGAAGGTATTAGTCAGCGAATGAGGGTCCCGGAAAAATTAAAAGTAGCACCGCCAAGTGCTGACCTGGACCAAGGGTTCCAAGAAGGAGTTCCAAATGCCAGTGTAATAATGCAAGTCCCAGAGAGGATCGTTGTCACAGGTATCTCGCTGTTGATTGAAAGTGTTCCAGTAAATCTTTGGGTTCTTTATTTTTATGAACATTTTAGGTTTTTCAAAATATTATTGAGAAAAGGTATTTTCTCATGTTTTATAAATGTATGTAACCCCCACTGTCCTGCTACAGAACACTGTTGTCACCTCAGAAGGCTTCCTGTTCCCATTCTCCATCATTCCCAGTCCTTCAACTCTCAGCAGCCATGGTTTCTTTTTTGTACCTAGAGTGAGTTTGTCTTCCTTGGATTCTCCTTTAAATGGAGTCCTCAATGTATTCTGTTTGGCATGGTTTCTTTCTTTCAATGAGAGTAAGTTTTCCTCCTTTTTTTTTTCTTTGCCTGTGGGGCTTTGATGCTGGGATCATATGCATTCTGGGCAAATGCTGCACCTCTGAGTGCCCCTTGCTGCTGCCCTTAAATTTGCCCTGCAGAGCCCACTGCCCTTGTACCTGTCAATCCTTCTGCCTCAGCCTTCTGAATTGCTCAGGTTGAAGGCCTGCCCACCACACCCAGTTTATTTTTCATGTTGTTTTTATTTTGGGACAGAGACTTAGTGTACCCCTGAGGCACTCAGGATCCTCCTGCCATAACTCCTGAGTGCTGAATTGCAGGCTTGTGCTTGCATGTATGGCTAGTGGAATGCTTTCTTGAGATTCTTCAACATTGTTGCAAGTATTATGTGTTTATTCCAGTTAATTTGGAAGTAATATCCTGTGTGAGTACTCATCATTGATTTATCCATTGACATTTAGTGGGTATTTGTGGTGTTTTCTTTTTGAGATTCATAGGATGATGTACGTATGAATATTTGTGTATAAACTTTTTAGGAGTACATACACCTTCATATCTCTAGAAGTGAACTGACTGTATTATAAGTTATATGTAAGCCTTTAAAATGTTGACAAATTATTTTCTGAATGGTGTGCCATGTTTCTTTTCAATCAATGATATTTGTGAATTTTAGTTGCTTTTATATTCATTTCCCTAGTGAATGATAATTTTGAACATGTATGCATGTGATTTTTACTTATTTACTTTTTGTGTTAATTACTTTTCTATTGCCATGATAAATACCATGACCAAGGCACTTTATAGAAGGAAGGATTTATTTAAGTTTATGTTCCAGAGGGATAAAAGTCCATCAGTGTCATTTGGGGAAGCATGGTAGTGGATAGGTATGGTGGCTGGAACAGCAAGCTGAGAGCTCACATCTTCAACTGCAAGCCCAAAGCAGGGAGAACTGGGAATGGAGTAAGGCTTTTTGTCTCAAAGCTCCCCTGCCACACTTCCATCACCAAGGCCCCTACCTCCTAAATCTCCCCAAATAGTTCCATCAACTGGGGAGCAGGTGCTCAAATGTGATCAAGATTACAGGGGACATTTGTTATTCAAACCAACATTTTGAAGCATGTATTCAAATGTTTTGCTAATCTGAAATTTTCCATGTTGTGAGAGTTCTTTATATACTTAGAGACAGGTTGCTTGAGTTTTTTGTTTGGTTTCATTACACACAAACAGAATAATTTCTGCACCACCGTGTTAAATATTTATGAAAGAAACTACTGCTGTTAGGTAGGTTGTACTACAAATCTGACAGAGGGTAAAAACATTGAGGAACAACACTTTTGAAGTCCCTCCTCCCCCTTTTATTTCCCTAGGAAATAATGAAGACATTTCATTTTCAAGACCAGCAGATCTTGACCTTATCCAGTCCACTCCCTTTAAACCTCTGGCACTGAAAACACCACCACGGGTGCTCACCCTGAGTGAGAGACCACTAGATTTTCTGGATTTAGAAAGACCACCTCCAACTCCTCAAAACGAAGAAGTAAGTAGAGTTACCACCCCTTATGTTGGAAAGAATATAGGGTAAAGTTAAAGAAGAGTTGAGACATGAAGCATGCATTAGTCATATATGATGGAAGCTTTCTGTATGGCAATACTGGTATCAGTTGATTTCATAGTTCCCTAAATAAAGTATTATGGGCTTGTTTTTGTTTTCTAATTTAACAGTTATGTAGTAGGGAAGGGAAAATCTTGGAGGACCAAGTATTGCTACCATTTATGTAGAGTTACAGAAGGAGTAGTGGTAACTGTTCCACCCACAGTAATGCAGACAGACTCTCAAAATTCGTTTTTGTTTTCTGCGGTTCTGGAGATTGATCCGGCACCTGAACATGCTAGGCAAGTGCTTTACCACTCTATTCCTGGGAAAGGAAGCTTTGCACTAGGGAAAAATGACTGTGCCATTTTGTCATAGAATCATCTGGCAAACAAAGCTAAGAAACCCTTTCTCCTGACACTACCCATTCTTGCAGCAAGTTAGTAACTATGATGTCCCTATTGACATAAAGTTGGTGGTAAAATGGACTTAAAGGTATTAACATTAGAATTAAAGTTTTGCCAGTGCTATTGACTTAAGACCAGTATTGTAGACATACATTTGTATTAAAAATGTACTCCTCTGTCTACTTTGATTTTTCCATGTAATCCTTTCCAAAGAGGGTTATGCGTTCATTTAAACCAGGTTAGTGCAATTCCTAGTAAGAGTCTTGATTGTTTTTTTGTTTTGTTTTGTTTTGTTTTTTTAGGTTTAGTTTCTACTTCTGTAATTGAGGGCATATATTCATAGGTGTCACTATGAGCATCCTGCATATTTGCTCAGTGAAAAGCACTATATTTGAGTATTAATTGTGGCCAAAAGTTGTCAAGTTACTTCTGAGATTTTATTTAGCAACCATTTTTTGAGATTTTATGTATGAAACACTGCAGTAAAAAGTAGATAATACATACCTGCCCTCTGTAAATTTTCCAGCTACATAGTCTCAACAAACAGTAAAAGGAGATGAGGAGATGACGTCAGTACACACAGAGCTTCTGAAGTTCTTTAATAACAGGAAATCAATGGACTCTTTATGTGTGCTGGCTAATTTTATATCAGCTGGACACAGGCTAGAGTCATCTGATAGGAGGGAACCCCAACTAAGAAAATGCAAGCCTAGAGGGCATTTTCCTAATTAGTTATTGATGGGGAAGGGTCCAGCCCATTGTGGGTGGTGCTTTCCATGGGCTGGTGGTCCTGAGTTCTATAAGAAAGCAGGCTGAACAAACCATGAGGAGCAAGCTGGTAAGCAGCATCCTCCATGAACTCTTCATCAGCTCCTACCTCCAGGTTCCTTCCCTGTTGGAGTTCCTGTCCTGACTTCCTTTAATGATGAACTGTGATGTGGAAGCACAAGTGAATAAACCCTTTCCTCCCCAACTTGCTTTTAGTCATAGTGTTTCATCATAGCAATAGTAACCCTAAGATGGTATATCTAATGTGTACCAATATTTGGAAGGCACCTTTAGACAAAAGCATTGCTGCTACCAGAATTAATAAAGAGTTGTACAGTAAGCCATGTGAACAGGACCTGATACTTGTGTGCTTGAACCATGGCCATTCTCAAAGCTCTTAGAGTAGGTCTGGCTATGTGGTAAGGGAGGCAGAGGCTTTCACACCAGTGCTACCTCTCAAAAAGGAACTTCCCTAGGTAGCTAGGGCCAGTGTGAGATCTTCAGAGGATGTGGAAAGAGGTCTATGAAGAAGAGTTAGAAATGATGCCTGTGCAATTTGTACCTAGAAGAGTGTGTTCAAGCTAGAGATTTGGAACCCAACACCATGTCCTGTCAAGCAGCAGTATGATTTGGAAAGATTAGCTATAATAACTTCCAGAGCTTTTTGAAAAGTTCACTCAAGTGCAAAGAGAAAGACCCTACAGGACTAAAGTAGCTTTTGCCCAAATTAGCTGTTCCTACTTCAGAGAAAAGTACGATAATGCCATCCATTTGTAAAATAAACCAGAAGAATACTGTGCACCCAAGAAGTGTCAGGTGATCTAGAAGGAGCAAAGTCAGTTGGCCTGTGCAAACCAGAACCCAATTTTGGAAGACAGGAAAAGAATTAATGTTTTCAGAAAAGGAACTTTTGTTCATACCAAGAAGCCTAAAGAAGCTGTCAAGTGGCTTCCCCAGGTGCCAAATCCTATGTTAGTCTTACACAGATGTACAGCCAGAGCTCAGGGATTAGGAGAAATGATATCCAGCTAAACCAGCTTATCGTAGGTCACACTTTGAATGCAGTGGTCCTGGAGGCTGAAGATTACACAGAAAGTTAACCTAGCAAGCAGTCATTCAAAGCAGCAGGTGGTTATCAGTACCCTGTGGTGGCCCAATGTAATTGATGAAACCACTGAGAATGAGAAGCAGAAGACCGTAGCTGACCTGAAGTATAACACGCCACTCTAGTACACCCCTGAACTGACTGATGATGAAGACTCCCAGGTAGTCAGTGAATGCTCCTACAGTGGCCAAAAAAAAAAATCAGCGAACTCATGGATATGGGTCTCATCACAGTTCAGAATTCAGTGGTAATTTGTTTTACTTTCTTTTCTTTCCCCTTATCCAATGAAAGAGAAGCTGGGAGTACAGGAGCAGAAGAAGCAAAATTTAAGAATGAGAACAGTTTTTGTGGTTTTACTGATGTTACTTACTCTTAAGTTTTGGAAATTGTTCATGTTTGGAATGGGGAAGATGTCCATCCCAGTTGTTCTGACCATACTACCTCCTACTTTTCCCCTTTGCTCTAGTCAAAGTCCCAGAGGAAGCAATAATTATGCCTGGAGCAGGTAGTGCACATAACACCTATGGGTGATTCAGTGATGTGTACTCACATTCTTTATTTAGTTACCATATTGCACCCTTGTCTTGAGTTTCTCTTGCTGTGATAAAGCACTGTAACCAAATACAACTTGGGGAGTAAAGGGTTTGTTTCATTCACAACTCCATATAACAATCTATCATTGAAGAAATCAAATCAGGACTTGACAGGAGCTAATGTAAAGGCCATGGAGAAGTGTTGAGTATAGGCTTGCTCTCCAAGGCTCACTTAGCCTATTTTCTTGTAGTACCCAGGAACAGCAGCCCAGGATTAGCTCTACCCACAGTGACTGTCAGTCAGGAAAATGAACTGTCAGTTTGTCCACAGGCTAGTCTGGTGGGGGATTTTCTCAATTGAGGTTACCTCTTCCAAAATAGCTTTAAAATGTCAAGTTGGCATAAAACTAGCCAGCATGCCCTTTTCATAGGCAAGACCTCTTCACAGTAACACACTGTTCGTGTTTCTGTCCCTTAACCTTAATCATTGTCTCAACTATTCTCCCTGATGTTAGTTACTCTTAAGTTTTGGAAATTGTTCATGTTTGTAATGGGGAAGATGTCCATCCCAGTTGTTCTGACCATACTACCTCCTACTTTTCCCCTTTGCTCTAGTCAAAGTCCCAGAGGAAGCAAGAATTATGCCTGGAGCAGGTAGTACAGACTTGTAATCCCAGCACTTTACAGACTGAAACAGGAAGATCACAAATTCCAGGCCAACTTGTGCTATATTGTCTTAAAATAAGCAAAAACCTTAAAAAGGAGTATGGGAGTGGGAGGGGGTGCAAATGTTATGGTCTTTTTAAAACAGATTTTGTTGTTCTCAACTTTTTGACATTACATTTGTTAATTGTATTGTCTGTTTTTTTTTCTTAAGGTATGATTGCTATGTGACTTGTACAAACCATTTTGCTTTTTTAAAATAGTGAACTACCATTTTAAAAAATTTGAACAGATTGTAAAGTAGTGATGGATGTTGTACAAGTCTAGAGAACCAGTGAACAGAGGTGTAAAAGGGCTTTTGTTTTGTGCATAATCACATATAACTTGGAGTTTAAATACAGTATGGGGACTATTAATGCATGTGTGCATCTTCTGTCTAGTGCTGTGTGCTTTATATCTAGACACAAAATAGTTTGTGACCCAGCTTCCAGGAAGTAGCCTGGAGCTAAGCAACTTTTCCTTTCCATCCCTGCCACTTCAAAGAAAACAGCTATGACTGCTACAGTAGGTAGGCAGGCAGGCAAGTACCAGTCAGATTCTTATAAACCTACATAGTAATACTGTGCATAAATAAAATATACTTGATCATGGGTCTTAAATTTTGCATATTTTTGGGTTAACCTTAAAAGGTTCTTGCAGGAGGCCCCAGATTGTCTTCTGTGATATCAGACAGATCCCCCTCAGTCTTCCTTTAGCACTGTGTTTCATCAGTATTTGCCTTGTGCCCTGATTGTGTGTACTATGTAGTTAGACTTTGAATGGCTATATCTATACTAAATAGGTACAATCCTTTTCATTGTCATTAAGCATCATGCCTATTTACATACCATGTACTTCTTTTTCTTTATTAAATTATTAATATTTTCACATGTACTTTCCCTCTCCCTCTCCCTCCATTAGCTCGGGAGTTCATGCCATTTCCCATTCCTGGGGTCCATTTATCCCTTAGAGTCATTCATGATTTCTAGTTTCCTTGGGGTAGAGGATTATAGGCTGGGAAACCTTTGCTCTATGTCTAAAAATCATATATGAGTGAGTACATACCCTGTTTGTCTTTTTGTGATTGGGTTACCTCACTCAGGATGGTTTCTTCTAGTTCCATCCATTTGCCTGCGAATTTCAAGATTCCATTGCTTTTTTCTGCTGAGTAGTACTCCATTGTATAAATGTACCACATTTTCTCTTTCCATTCTTCAGTTGAGGGGCATCTAGGTTGTTTCCAGGTTCTGGCTATTACAAACAATGCTGCTATGAACATGGTTGAACATATGTCCTTGTTGTATGGACAAGCAGTATTTGGGTATATACCCAAGAGAGGAATGGCTGGATCTTGAGGTAGATTGATTCCCATTTTTCTGAGCAACCGCCATACTGATTTCCAAAGTGGTCTTACAAGTTCACACTCCCACC